ACTTGTGTCAGGAAAGGACACATGCTCAGCTCAGGAAATCAAATATGAGATTAAGAAAAGCCTTGCATGCAATTTTGAGCAAGAAACTTGGGCTTCTCCACCCAGATAAGAATAGTGCATACACTGCCATGAACCAATGCTATGACAAGTTCAAGAAAGGCCTCTCCAAGCAGGTCAAAGTAAATGTTTCTATACTTGAATATATTTATTTCTTAGACCCTGAGATCTGGGAAAAATCATAGAGATCACCTAAGGATAAATGGAGCATTAATGACACACAACATGATTTTACGTGGTATGTGGGTAAATGTAGATAATTCCATTAACTTATGTGGCTTTGCATCTATATAATAGTTTACTTACCTGAATATATAAATATAAGTAAGACAATGAAGGTAATATATCAGTGACTGAAGGTGATGAAATTCTGTTTTAGTCCAATACTTTCCTGATGCACTAATCCTTTCTCATTGTAATCATCAGCTTCTTATTAGACATTTTTCAGTCTCAACAAACTCACTCTAATGACACTTTAATTGTTAGAATGTTTTCCCTTCTATGAAGCTGAAGACTACCTCTCTTAAAATGACTCCCCATTAGCATCTTCAAGAAAATAAATGAGTAAGAAGAGAGAAAGTGAGAGAGAATAAATAGATGGTATAAAATGCATTTAATTCCTCTTTTACGTGAAAGTTCTTTGATCCTGTGAAATCGACTAAATCTTACCTCTGCAGAACTATGCATTTCCAGGTCCTTCAACATTTTTCAGAAGACATGATTTAGTTGCTGCTATTCTGTGTGTGTGAGAGAGGCAATGGGATATCCCAAGCATGATCCGAGTAGTGTGAAGCAAGAATTTTTGTTTCTTCCTTCATTTTGCACATGAATTTCCAGTAATGTAGCCTAGGACTGGATTAAGGTTTTGGCAGACACATCCTCATGTTGACTCATGCTAAACTTACCCTCAACTAAAACCATCAGGCAATTTTTTCATATATTTGGTATTAAGTCAAACCTTCCACATCCTGTGTTTGTACAGTTCAGTTTTGGACCTAAAATCAAGACTTTACGTTTATTACCATTAAGTTTCTTTATGTTTGATTCAGTCCATTGTTCCAGATGATTCTGTCATCAACACATTATCAACCCCTGTAGATTTTGGCATTCACAATCTGATCAACAACACTCTGTGCTCAGCAGGCCTGAGTTAAAAACACATTTTGAAGAAAAACTTTTTTCTTGCAAGTTTATATTGGTGGACTATTCATTAGCAAGCTTTGGGTACAGTTTCTTGAATAACCAATAATCCTTCTAGAGCTACGCCATCTGATATACATTTCTTTGTGTTGTCCCCCAGATATCACGAGACAAGGGGCTTCTCAAGTTCAGGAGAGTACCCTTACTTGTGGTGAAGTCCAGAGGTTAGAACAGGAGTTTTTCAGCCTACACACTATTGATGGTTTGAGCGAGATGACTCATTATCAGGGGCCAGGACTGTCTTGTGCATTGTAGATGGTGTCGCTGCATTCCTGGCCTCTACCTAGCACCTGGCCATTCCCTTCCCATGCCCGTTCCTCCTTCTAAGTTGTGACAATCAAAGATGTCTCCAGATACAGCCAAATGTTTCTTTGGGAGCAAAATTGTTCCTCCCTGAGAACCACTGTTCTAGAATCCAAATTCCTCCAATTTAATCTTCTAATTCAGTCTGCCTCTTACGGCTTTTCTTTTTTTTTTTTACCTTTTCATATCTATAGCCATGAACAGGTTATTCATATACAGCACCAAAATAATTCCTTATCTAGAATTAAATATGTAGGTACATTAAAATGAGATAAGGAAATCATACAACAGATAATGAGAGGAACGAAGAGGGATTATATAATTCTAAAATTTAGAGTTGAATTTAAATTAATCCTTGGGTAAAATAGTTACAAGGAATTGAACCTTGCAAAAGGAACTATATGATTTAAGAACTCATCCATAAGGACTTTTATATCTGGATGCTCATCAAAGTATTATCTGGAAGAGTGAAAAATGGGAACAGACTAAATGTTTGACAATAGACGATAAATAAGTAATGGTATATTGATCTCACAGAATATTAGTCATCAAAATGGCATATTTTCAAAACATTTTTGATAATGGGAAATGCTCATGATATAACACCATGGAAAAAAATGAGACATTATATATGCAGCATGGGTATTAAGTTTCAAAGAAAATATATACATAGTAAAAAGGTCATAAGAACATTAATAATTGTTATGGAATTATGCATGATCATGTTAGCCTTCTTTATGTTTTTTAAGTCTCCAAAATTTTCTTAATGAACTTACTATGTTTGTAAGTTTTGTGTTCCTGGGTGGTACTGGATAAGCAGTCCAAATTCTCTTAGATGAGTAAGCACTGGCAAGGGTTTCTCTCTTGTTGGCAAAAAAAGTATGCCAGTAAAGGAGGATGCTTCAGAAAAGGCACATGAGAAAAATGACAGTATTTTTAGACTGGCTTATTCAAACCTCTCGGGAAAAAAAAAATCTGCGTGTCATTTTTCATAGTTTAATATTCCAACCAAATCTTCTTCAGGTCAAAGGTTCTTAGACTTTAGGATACTGAAGAATTATATTGGGCTTGCCTATTAAATAGAGATTCCTGGGTTCCAAATCGCAAAATTCTGATTCTGCAAGTCAGTTGTGGGTCCCACAACCCAAGGTTTTTTATTTTTAACAAGCTCCCCACATGACTCATTTTGATGCTGGTGGTCTGGATGATTTGGATGAATCTTTCTTATTTAGCCTTTAAATTTTAGATCATTTCTTCCTGATTATACACTAAATAGAGTTGGTGTAAACCCTCCGTGGTATGTTGATTAACTGCAACAAGTTGGGTTTGCCAATTTCTATGGTGTAAATACTCCCACCATGACCAATGTCAAGCTACCAGTGGTTTAACAACCAGCTCCCCAAATTCTTCTCACAAACTGATAATTCATAACTGTTTCTTATTTTATTCTATTTTTTTCCATGGCCACATCATGAAGAGCAATACACTCACTGAGCTCTTTCAGAGTTGTGAGTTGGTTTCCTATGGATGATGGAGAGCCAAGAAACAGGACTCTAGGGTTGAGAGGAATGCCAAATGTTGAGCCTCCACCTCTACCCTCTGTGGCCCTCCACTCCTGAGCTGCTGAAATGCTCTTGGTCATTAACTGTATAGCACCCAACCATAAAATCAACTCCTCCAGTTTCTTCCCCTCTCACATGATTGAGACAATGTTGTCTCTAAGAGACCCATCTCAGATGTGTTTTACGTGTTCATGTGTGGGAAGAGGCCTAAGTGGAGGCTAATAGTACAGTTCTTTCAATATGTGGACCAGACATATTTTAAGAAAATTGGACCTGATGCCTATATAGCCAGCTGAGGTGAATTTACAGCCCTGCTTTTAAGAACAAAACTCCCTCAGGCACCTGCTTCCTTAAGGCAACACCAGAAAGGAAATGAACTCTTGCTTAAAGACAACCCACCTTATTTTATGGGTTATCAATTTTCTAGCAGGCCCACAGTTCCCTAGCTACTAAGAGTAAAGCCTCCCAACCCCAAGCAAGTAGTGAGCTACAAAAAAACATGAAGTCTGCCTTCTAGCAAACAGCCCAGGTTCCTGAAGACGAGGCAAGGATGTGGTACCTCTGTAGTGAAGTCAGGGGAGCAGGATCTATAATGTGGTCTCAGCCCATTGATGTGTTTGCCAATATATGCATTAAAATCTTCGCCTGAATTATATTTTACATTACAGGATTACTGAATCATGGGCTATGCTGGAGAATCATCTTCCCTGTTTCGGGGACAGCTCTGTCAGATGAATAGTCAACAATATCAACCCCTTGATTTCCTTCTAACTGCTCCTCTGACCCTGGAACTGAATGCTTATCAACCTCTTTAAAGGGAGAAAGGACTAAATAGGGTTTCTTCCCTTGCTATGGATAAAGTCAGCTTTCTGGATCAGAACAGACTGCAAGACAGGAGTCAAAGTTTAACAGTAGAAACTCAGCCTGTTCTTTTCTAGAAAACAGGATGAATGAGTATGATTTTCTTAGTACACATTACTAGACTATTAAAATGAGTGCAAGAATGGAGTCTAAAAGCTACAAGGATTATTGTCACTAAGGAGCAAGTGACAAGTTGGACAAATGTTACTTCATGCATGGTGAAGTCAGAATCAAGTACTTAAAATTATATGCTAGTTTTGTCACAATCTCAGTCTTTCTCCAAGTTCCATTTCACTGTGAAGGTGAAGAACTCTCAGGAGAAAAATGAATATTCAATTACATGTTTCAAAATCAGACATTTACACGTCGACCTGGAGTAAGTACCAGAGTTAACCTCAAAGATAAGTGAAGGGCCTCTTGTCCAAATGGAACACGGAGCTCCTCAAACAGGAGAATCCAGCCCTTGCAAACTGTCATTATTTCAGTAAACGAAACCAGCCCTTTAACAGATGGGAGACATACTTTGCAACTTGCTGATAGGCTAATAAAAGACACTGGCTTTTTTAAAAATGAAGGACATGCACTTCTCAAATTACACCCCCCCAAATGGATTTAGCAGAATAAAATTAAGAAGGCATACAACAGCTTGACAGAAATTAGGAACAGACTACGGGAAATTTGATAGTTCTAAACATCAATATCAAAATGACCTTTTTATTAAAAAAAAAAACTCATCGTTTAAACCATAGGGAAAATATACACTGATAGAGTCAAAACTGGAGTAGCATATTTTGGAATTATAAGTGCTGATATAATAAAAATATAAAGCTAGTTTCTTCTCCAAATATAATAAAAATTCCCCAGAAAGGCAGGTTCCTTTTTACATCAGGTACCTTTCCTTCTGTATCAAACTCTATGCTTCTTAAAATAAAATTTCTCCAGTTGATAGATGCAACAACCCAATTAAGCACAGGTCATGGACCCAAACAAAATAAGGAGCTCAGCATTTCTGCTCACCTTTCACGTTCTTTCATTTTTTCCAGCTCTTCTCCCCTCAGGCCTCCATGCTTCAGAGAGCCCTTCTGCTCAGCCTTGCCACCCCTGTCATCTTTCTTCTTTCCAAATCTAGAAACACGTGAAGGAGGAAACGGCTATTAACAATCGCCATGTTCTTTCGGGGGTAAATTGAAAATATTTATGAACTGAACTCATCAACCTGAAAGTCTTTATTCTAAGTGGTACAAGATCATTTTGCATAAAATGGGAGTAAAATAAGAGACTGAAAGGCAAAAATAATAGTCACTAAATTCCCCTCCTTTTCCTCGCTCCCTTCTTTCCTTCCATCTTTCCACGGTGGTATAGATTGTGCAGCGTGCACAAAGTCATGTGGTTAAAGAGTAAAAATCTCAAACCACTGGTTCACTAGAAATGAAAGAACTGAAAGGTCATCATTAATACCTAACTAAAAACTGACCGAACTCCTAAACAGCCCTCTGGAGCTGTAAGTGGCATTGACGTTTGAAGTTGAACTCGCAGGACTTGATAATGATGGTGCTTCAAGGGACCTCGCCAAACATCTAGTTTGCCAATGCTCATTCTGCACATGAGACTTTGCGCCTTGATCACCCAACAAGTTCAGGGAAGGGATTAGATTAGAACTTGGGTTGTCTCCTATAGTGCCCTGTCCTTCACACCACACTCACTCCCGCAGGTAGCCCCATCCTCCCAGATCAGCTTTGGGTTCCTATGCTCTCAGCACTCCTGGGTGCCTGGCATATTTGTAGCTAATTGGGCACAGTGGCCATTATGATACATTATTTTTTTTCCTCCAGCTTTATTGAGATATGATGGGCAAGTAACCTTGTGTAAGTGTAATGTGTACAACTATGGATTTGATACATTTCTAAGTTGTAAAATGATTCCCACCATAATAGTAGCTATGACTTTCATCCCATCACATAATCACTATTTCTTTTTTGTGGTGAGAGCATTTCAGATCTCTTCTCAGTAACTAAAGGATACATTTTTATTAGCTATGATCACCATGCTGTACATTAGATCCCAAACTTGTTAATCTTATAACTGGAAGTTTTTACCCTTTGACCCAAATCTCCTTAAATTTCCCCTCTCCCCAAATCTTGGTAATCACCACTCTACTGTTTCTCCGAGTTTGTCTTTTTCAGATTCCACAGGGTATATGTATATATGTGTATGTGTCTTGCATATATACATATATATGTGTATATGTCTGTGTATATATACATATATATGTGTACACACACACACACACACACACACACTGCATCTTCTTAATCCATTCATCTATTGATGGACAATTAAAATATTTCCATATCTTGGCTATTGTAAGTAATGCTGCAATGAGCATGGGAGCAGAGATACCTGTGTGGGATCCTGAACTCAATTTTTTCGGATGTATACCCAGAAGTAGAATTGCTGGATCATATGGTAGTTCCATTTTCTTTTAAAGTTTTTATTAAATTCCAGTTAGTTAACATACAGTGTAATATTACTTCCAGGGGTGCAATTTAGTGATTCAGCACTTCCACACATCACCCAGGGCTCATCACAGCAAGTGCGCTCCTTAACCCCCACCACCTATTTCACCCATCCTCCCACCCATCTCCCCTCTGGTAACCATCAGTTTGTTCTCTATAGTTAAGAGTCTATTTCTTAGGATGCCTTCCCCTTTTTCTTTTCTCTGTGTTTGTTTTGTTTCTTAAATTCCACATATGAGTGCAATCACATAGTACTTGTCTTTCTCTGACTTATTTCCTTAGCATGATACTCTCTAGCTCTATCCATGTCATTGCAAATGGCAAGATTTCATACTTTTTTATAGCTGAGGACTATTCCATATTTGGTTTGTGTGTGTGTGTGTGTGTGTGTGTGTGTGTGTGACATCTTCTTTATCCATTCATCAGTCGATAGACACTTGGGCTGTCTCCATAATTTGGCCATTGTAGATAATGCTGCTATAAACATCAGGGTGCACGTATCCCTTTGAATTAGTATTTTTGTGTTTTTTGGGTAAAAATCCAGTAGTGCAATTGTTGGATCTTAGGGTAGTTCTATTTTTGCTGTTTTCCACAGTGGCTACACCAGTTTGCATTCTCCATGGTGCACATGGTTCCTTCCTCTCCATGTCCTCACCAATACCTGTTGTTTCTTGTGTTGTTGATTTTAGCCATTCAACAGGCATAAGATGATACCACATTGTGGTTTTGACTTGCATTTCCCTGACGATCAGTGATGCCGAGCATCTGTTTAAGTGTCTGTTGGCATCTGGATGTAGTTCCATTTTTAAATTTTGTGAGGAGCCTCCATGCTGTTTTCCATATTGGCTGCACTTGTTTGCATTCGGACCAAGAATGCACTAGGGTTCCCTGCAATTATGATACTTTAAAAGAGCATTGTGTTTCCTTAGCACTGTTAGGAAAATAAAACTGCATATTTGAAATAATAATAATAATAATAAAGCTGTGGTTATTCCTAGGACACATTCTCAAATAACAGGCATTTTCTCTCACAGATATTTTCTTCAGAAGCAATCCCCTATGGTCTTGGCATCAACACACATGAAAAAGGAAAGTAACTTGATGCTCTGTTAATAACCAGGAAAAAGTTACTCATTTATGCATATTCTTAAGTTAAAGATTCTTGTCAAACTATGGAAACCCCATTTATTCTTTGTTTCTTATTAAATAGCTGCAAATTTTACTTCTGTGTTTGCTTACATGTGTCTATCTTTAGCTTGGTCATTTTACCTCTGTAATTATCCATGTATCTATCTATCTATGTATCCATCCATCTATCCAACCCGAGAACCCTACACATGCTCAGACTGACTGACCATCCCTAACCCCCATCCCCATCCTCTCAACATATACAGTGAGTCAGAATCTCCTCACATGAAGACCTCACTCATTAACTTGAAACTCCCATCTTCTTCAGATTTCATAAAGATGAATTAATATTTGTTCTTTTAGGATTGTGCTTCAGTCCAAAGCAGAGGTTGTTGGTCATGTGGCAGCCCTGGGTATCCCACATGGGAGACCTTATTGTTAATACCCATATTTCTGTTGTTATCAGAGTTCAAAGCACCCTGCTTTCCTCAGAAGCCCCTCCCAATCTTGATTCTGCTGTAAACTTTTCAGTTTACAATTTCAATGAGCAAATCTTTGCTCATGAACTTTCTCTTTCCTTCCCATTGCCATCTGGCCATCTGCCTTTGCTTCTATGGCAGTTCTTTGGCTGTATCCAGTTTAGTTTGGGGATTTTGGTGAATCAGCTATGAATTTTCACTTCATCATCCTCAGCCTCCCCCACCCCCAATCTCCCTTCTCTTTCCTAATCTATTCTTCTTTCCCACTGAAGAAATGACCTAGTGTCATTTATAGACTAGGAAAGAGAAAAAATACTGACAAAATAAAAGATCAGTAACTTTGAAATATAATTCAGATTTGTTGACATAGTCAAGATCTCTCTTTAACCTACAAAGCAGGAGACATAGAAATAATGTGTGTTTTCCTATGTACATTCTTTGGCTTTTCAGGCACATGTAGAAGAGTCTAAATTTCTTTATGTGAGAAGTTAATGTCTTTGTACACCACTTAAAGAAATACTTTTTCCCTCAAAATGTCATATACAGTCAAATAGAGTAAAATTGGGCCAAAAAAATCAAAATTCTGGGAAGTGAGGATAGAATAGTGCTTCAGAAAGTTGATGAGGGCAAAAGTGTTGCCAAAAATTCCATAGATATTAAGCATGTTTTTCTTCTATGTCCCCAATTATTCCTTCTAAATTTGAAGGTTTGGATTTAGTAAGATGAAAGAAGTCTTGTTTTTGAAGGGCAAAACTACCTATACCTGAGTCTACCCTCATCTTTATTACCACAACCAATGAATTATTTTTTCTTTCTGCTGCTAAAATACTTCACTTGTGCTGCAGTTCAAAAACAGCTTATTGTGTTTTCATCACAGAAGAATAGGTCTGATAAAGGTTAGTTGTAAGTAAATTCTGCAAAGCATTTTCTTCTTAGCAAGAACCATCAATAATAGTCAAATCAACCAATTCCACAAACAATATAAATGTTTTGATTTAAACGTCATGATCATTTATTAAAGTTTCCAAGAAGGAAGGCAGAAATAGCTGTGAAATTTATTTCATTAGACAGAGAGAACAGTCATAACTTACCTTATTTTGTAAAGTTTGGGTAGGTTCAAGAACAGAATTATAAAACAATAATCTTCAAAAGGACTCCCACATTGTTAAGATGAGGAAATTGAGACCCAGAGAAGTTAATTGCCTTTATTTATTAACACACTGAATTCTTTTTTCCAATTTTGCAATCAGATAACTTTATCAGTGGTAGTGGCAGCAGTGGTGGGAGGGTGGGGGGAGTTGGGAGAAAAGCATCAGTTTGGTGAACTGTGTACACCTTGTTCTCCTTCCCACGTCAGCCTTTTTGGGGGTCACTTCCCAGCCTTTCTTACTTTCACGGACATAGAGAAAGAGGAGTTGGGGAGGTTCAAATACATTGATTCATCTCTCCATTAGTTATTTTTGTGAGAAAAGTCACAAGAACTCTAAATGGCTGAAATTACTGCTTTGCATTCTAGGGTCTCAAATATCCCCTGCATTCCAGGCCTCCCATTATCTATTACCTAGGAAATTTGAGAGTTGGCCATTCTGGGCTAGGTGCCTTGAGGAAATTGCTCGTAGGTCAACCTTGCTTTATATAAAAGATATTTTCCTAAAGAATTCAGTGCAAACATATGGTTTGAATCAACAAAAATCTTACTTTCCATGTACCTGGGAAGCCTGTTTAAAGACTCTTATGATGGATCTTTTTGTAAAGTGGAAAAATCACCTTTCAACATACCCTTTATTTAAATTTAGATTTTCATGAATTATAAGTTTGCTTAAAACACCTGTCCTGGTTCATTTCTATAGAGAGGCTACATGAAACAGCTCTATGGAAAACCAGCTTTCTTTCTGTCCTTCTTTCTTCTTCCATACATACATTTGTTTAAAAAATATTTACCAGGGATATATTCTGGCCTATTTCACTTAGCATCATGTCTTCAAGCTTCACCTATGCTATA